TATTTCTATGTTATGACAGCTAAGATCTTGTAGGAATTAAATTCATTTTACTTTATCATCCATTTTTAAACATGGCAAATTCTGCTTTGACAATTACAGTCATTTAATGGCTTGATAAAAATGAGATATGAGAATATTAAAACCTGATTAAGATTGAAATACAGGGGAAATATGGTGAGGGACCTGAATATGTAGAATTTCTATGCCTCTATCTTTAGTCTTACCTTTCAGAAATAAACACAAAATGTTTATCATAAAATGCTTTTATCATCACTTAGAAGATCATTCAGCCATCCCAGAAACCAATGTTACTTGTTTACTATAAAATGTCTTCTTTAATTTCAGACAGAAGCAGCAACTAGGAAAAGATAGAAATACAGTGCTTCTGAAGGCATGACGCTTTGGTAATGATGCTACCACATAGGGATTTGTCACCATTATCTCGGAAAGGATGGCTTCCTATTTTACTAATAACCACCAGCTATATAAAATCAAAGGCCTTTAGATAGAGCTTCTATTCCACCACTCCATGTAATCTTTAAACCATGTAACAAAATTAATCATGATCAATTACAATGCATTTATCACAGCTTTCTATGGGACAGTGGAAAACAGCTACGATTAGAATCTTTATTACATGCTTTTCCATTAATCTGTGAAATCCATTTTAAAGGGTATATAATTGTCTTTTCTTAAAACAATTTATAACTTTTCAAAAGGACAAACCAAATAAATCCATACTAGATGGCTGATGAGAGAAAGAAATGGCAATTGGTTAGGAAAAAATCCAAAGCTTTCCAAAGCTTTACTTCTTTCTTTCGTTTTCTGCACTGTACTTAACTAATGTGGGTCAATGCACAGTGTCCATAGGCCTAAAAATACCTTGCTGGAGGAGGTTTAAAATTTTCTGTTCATCTCACATTCTTCATTTCTTTATTTGTACTTCTAAATCCGGAATGTGCACTGAGCACAAGAATGTTTTATCACAGAGATGATGGAAAGCGAACTCACTTGGAATTGTTTGACACAAACTAAGTCATACCACTAGGGATAAACTGATTTCGTTTATTAAGACACGAAGGCGAGTTGGAACTGGATGACCTTTAAGGTCCCTTTCAACCCAACCCATTCCATGACTCTGTGATTCCTTGTGAAGTTAATTCCTCTCCCATCTTAGGAGTGCCAGAAAGTGTCATAGTTAACCAGAGGGAACTAAGCCTTGAATAAAGGATGGCTAGTTACACAAGCACATCCTTGAAAATACATATTGCTATGAGGAGAGCAGACAGGAGCTAATATTCCAAACAACTTATTCACTCTGTTTTAATTTCTGGTACAAAACCTAGTCAGGAGCATTACAGAGCAAATCTCGTGGTATCTCCAGACACACGTCACAAAGGACAGAACAAAAACACAGTCTTGCATGGGAATTACGAATAAGTCATGCAACAGTTGTTAATTCAAATGGTATTAAAATACAAAGCAAACGGAACTTAGCATTGGTGCTCTCTCTTTATCTAAGAAGGTTTTATTCTACGAGTAATCCCATTGGAATTGGCATCAATAAGACTATTAGAAGCTGGATCATAATGAAGGAACAGCAGATAACAAGAATAATAATCCCTTCATATCTATTTCAGCAGCCAAGTAGACTGAAAGAATACAAAAATACTCTCTGGTATTTAAGGGTTATTATTCAACAGTTTTACTTCCCTAGGGAGAGTCTTACAACTATTGTGTTGCAAAGGTGACCTTTACGTCACTGTTACCATTTATAATAAATATTATTCATACATTAAACAAAACTGAATCACATACCCCACAATATACATAGGTGGATAGAGAGGTAAGTCCTTGTCCAGAAAGATTACTCTCCAGATAAAGATATGACAAGTGGTGCAATTACAATTAAAGGATAAAAAACACAGATAAAAAGGAAAAACTACCCCAACCAGCATAAACAACCCTACCCAATAACTTAAATAAATTATACCTATTAGTCTTATTTTTTATCATATTATAGGCACTGTACCTCATCACCTAAATTCCTTTCTTACAGATTTTGCTATAGAAAGGACCTTTCAGGACACACTGCACAAAGCCATGTTTGAGCTCCAGAAAGAACCTTCTTCCATCTTTGGCCACTTCAACCCTCAAGAAAACACACACTCATTGAGGAAACTTCTGGACAGAAGGCATTTTCCTCACTGGTTTAGTAATGGTGGGCAAAAACTAATGTTAATCTACTCCAGCTGCATGCATTAAGCAGTTATTTTCCCACCTTCTCTGTCATGTAAGATTTAAACAGGAGTCAGCCCAGGAAAGAGATGGAGGTGTGAATGTGATCTATAAAATGAGAAGTGTCACTGAGAAGGCAAATACAAACTGACTGGTTCGTTTTCTCCCACACTAGTAACAGGAAGCATAAAAGGAAGCCAGCAGTTGCACCCGTCAAGACAAACAAAAAGAGATGATTCTTCTCATAGTTGCATAATTGCAAGATGTTTAATAAAGGATCCTGGGTGTGCTGGAAATGTGCATGAATTCAGCACCAGCATGGGCAAGCTTATGGAAGAGAAATACTCCGGAACTTCTGAGGGATGGAAAGTCAGCACTTTGCTGCTTACTTCAGGGGGCCCAAATAGTAGTGAAGTACTTAACCCCATTAAAGTGAGAAGTTTTCTCGAAGCCAACACAGAAGTGCTGACATCTCCCAATGCTGCTGAGCTATGAGCTTTCCTGGTATTAGTAAACTAGCATAGAAAACTGATTTCATGCTTATCTGCTGGAGTAAATCCTCTGACTAATTTGTTACAAATATGAAGATGCCCTGCTCTCTCAGTAACCTTGTCTTACATGCTGAAGGAGAGCTGCAGTGGCTCACTGACTGCTGAAAGGCAGCATGAACACCACTAAATAATCACTTCACATGTGCTGGGAAAAGCCTAGAGAAGTTAAGCTCCAGTTGATGCTCAGTACTAGCTGGAATGATGATTTATAATATTGCCTAGTACACATTTGCATCTAGGATGCGGGATGATGCTCCCATCATAAGTAAACTAAAAAGCCCTTAAATATGTATCATTCTAATTTTAACTTTGCAACATCATTGAATATTCTAAGTGATCTGATATCTTCACCGTAAGACTGCTATTGAAAGTTCATCTTGCAGCAGAGGGTTGAAGTATGGCTTGGGATTATAATACCAGATACCAGATAAAATTCTAAATGCAATGGGTAATTCTGATTTCTTGAGCTCCCCAGGGAGCATATATGTTAAAATGCTCAAAATAGGTAAAATCCATGGGTTTAAATTAACAACAATAATTTACTAAATCTACTAGATTAATTTAAAAGTTTGAGTGACCTGTTTCTGCAGGTCAGGAAAGAGAAGTCAGTGACCTGACTTCTTCTGAAGTGGGAAGAAATGGTGAGCATAGAATGAAGTGAGGTTTTGGTCCAATATGATGAATAACAATATTATATTGAAAGTAGATTTTCTGTGAGGCCCTTAAATTCTAATGAATCAGCCTTTCAGAGTGTTTATAAATTCTTAGAGGTATAAATTCCAAATACCAGCTCCCTTTGAATATGACACTACATCACCAGACCTGAGTATACCATGCACTGTAACATCACAGTTCTGAGCACCTATGAACTATCACTATATCCAGTTTTGGCGAGGATGACCTAGGATAACTGGGAAGCAGATTTCTTTTTGTGTGCTTCTTTTAACCATTTAATGGACCAGTTTGCACCCTAACAGCAGCCTTTCATTATGTGAGCAGAAGATTACTCAAATGAATTTTAATGTGAATAACTCATCCCTCTACTGGACTAATTTAGTCCTGAAGAAATTAAAAACCCAAACTCTTTGATGTACATACTAACCTTCCTTCTTAATTTTCTGCTAGGGTTACAAAGCACAGAAGATGGAGGATCTCTTTAGTATCTGCAATCTGCATCTGAAGAAATTAACCTTTCAAGGTTACCTAAATAAACAAACAAAAAGTTATTGCAGCTATCACTCTTAAGAATCACTTTAACCCAATTTATATTTGTATGTGTTAGATGTGAGATAAGTCATCAGTCAGTGGAAAGGATTGTACCAAAAGGGAGTTTCCCCTGATTTAGGAGGTGTCAATAGTCACCCAGTATACTTACAGGGTTTAACATCAAAATGTTGAGAGTTTCTCGTTTGTGTCTACACAGAACCATTTAGGTTGGAAGAGACCCACATAGAGAAACAAAGATTTCTAGGAAAGCCTGATCAAAAATGTTAACATAACAATATGACAACAACATAGTACTGTGTGAAAAGACATCACTACCAAAACACTGAAAACTACAATTACTGCAATTATTACAATTTAATTATGGACACTCATGGTGACTGGATGTGGTAACAGTCTTCCTAAGGGCTATGTTCCCTTGTTTAAAGGCATTTCTGTCATTTTACGAAGAAAAGTCAGGTAATGCATCCACTAGCAAATTATAGAAGAGGGAAATACAAAATGAACAAATAACAGATGACAGACTGGGCAATTTCATTTTATTGCCATTTTTCATCCTTTTATTTCTGCCTTTTCTCAGGTAACTGCTTAAACCTTGCAACACATATGCAAGCTCACCCCAAAACACCTTGTTTATGTCTTGATGATGTAATGGTACACTTAACTAACAAATTTTGCCTCAGTCTGTAAATGATTTAAGACAGGGATTAACTCCAGGAAGCATGGTTTTACTATTAAAACTCTAGAATAGGACCCAAAAGACTGGGCTGTGCTACAGCCTTCCAGTGTGATGCTACTCACATGAGTCCCAGCTCAGCATCACACAGAGATCAGCAGCCAAGCCTATGGCAGAGCCTTGTCCTGATCCTGAAAAGGCTGCACGTTTGTTCAGTGTTTATGCCACACTTCCCAGCACTTTTTAGCTTTAAAGATGTGTGACAATATGTGTGACAATGTGTGACAATAACACCCTATTTGAAACTTTGCATTGAAACAGGCGGAGTCACGCAGTAACTGGTCTGACCTGGTTCCTGTTATCTCAGATGAAGCATGCCTTATACAAGGACATATATCTTAGCACCAGCCAACAAAGCCACAGGTGCCACTGGGAGCCCAAGCATTGTGGAGCAGCAGTGGGGTGAGTGTCGCTCTGTCCTGTGTCCTGCTTCATTCCAGGCTCCTCAAAGAGGAGGCTTACCAAAATCAGCAGAGAGGTGAACCCAAAGAACTTGCTCTAAGCTCTGCCAAGGTAAAATGGAATACATTGGAGCCAAGAACATTGAAGGGACTGAAATAAGGTGCATCAGGATAAGGTGTGGAGTATCTGGTGAGTTGCTGGAGGATAGGAGCTGGAAGCAGGGCATGCTTGAACCTGCAGTGGATTTCACAGGGAGAACTCTTAGCTCCTAACAACATACTATGGACTTCAGGGGACAGGGAGTACAAGAGATGGGAATGTCAGGAAGAGGATGCAGGGCTCTGTCTTTGCAGGACTCATTGCAGGATCAGAGCCTGATATTAGAGTTTTCTAAGAGCAACTTTTTTCCTTTGAAGATAAGTTATTTGCAATACTAGTGATACTACACTTCCAAGGCTCAAAGTAAATGATTGCTTCCAATTATGCCAGTGCTTACCTACCAGCTGGTGATTAAGTGATCAAAGAGATCAGGGCTGATAAGCTTACCTGGCTGATAGCAATAATCAAAATCAGTTCTCAAATCTATATTTTTTATATATATATATATATATATGATTTAGAAACACAAATTAAATTTGTTCCTGGGCTCTTTTCAATACAATCACCGAATAGCACTTCTGGAAGAAACTTTTCTATTACATGCTAGAAGAAACTTCACACTGTAAAAATAACTTATTGCAAATCCTTTAAGAATCTTATTTGTTTGCCCACGAATTGCAGCACTAGAGGAAAATAAAAGTGTCTGTCAAGGTCAGGAAGACAACCTGGAAGACATGCTTAGAGGATATCCTGCATATGCAAAATCTCCATGGCAAAGAGCAAGGATCCCAAAGGTATCTTTTTGAAACCTTGCTATCTTTAAGGAAGTATTGATTCTTTTAGATCCAACTAATTAAATGCCTGAAGTACTCCTATGGCCACTACAACTTCTTTATAATGGGTCAAGGAAAGCCTTAAGGTGAATTCCAGAATCTATCTTTAATTATGTTTAGAGTGAGATGTCCCTGCCCATAGCAGGGGGGTTGGAACTTGATGATCTTAAGGTCCTTTCCAACCCTAACTATTCTATGATTCTAACTGCGTTCTTGTTTGCTTTAGATGTTTGCAGTATGGATCACTACTCTTCTTCTTCTCAGTGAAGCCAAAGGTAAGACACGTGGTTGACAGAGTCTATAAACAGTCTTAAACTGTGTGCAGTTTAAAGTAAAATATCTGTATTTTTGAAAAAGGATGTGCTTTGGAATGGATTTAACAGACTTCTTCATCAGGAGCACTGAGTTCTGTCATGTCTTTCCCACATTTAACTCACTACTTTTTAATTCTGTAGAGGTTTTTGCAGCTAGCAAACCGAATGTGAATTAGAAAGGCATTTTTATATATTAATTGATACCAAAACTCTTCCAGAACAGTTTCCCCTCAACACACACCAGCAATTATGGTAGCTACAGCAGCTGTAATGCCAGCCAAGGCACTATGCAGAGAACAAGAAAACAGTCCTGGTCCAATAGTCCTTTTTACCAATAGGAAAGAATAGTTCAGTGGGGACAGACATACAGAAAGAGCAGAGAGAAACAAAAAGGCACAATCCAAAAGTGGAAACACCCCATGAAAATGACCTGGTCACTTGTGGAGTCTCTCACTGTAGCTCCACAATCAAATCTTCTCTTTCTCTAGGTGTATTTCCAGTATGTATCACTCTACCCCTGTGTTTCATACAGACTAATGAATAAAGTCACGGTGTGACGTAGTATAAATTTCTCACCTATACCAGCTAACAATAGCTCCTCATTGTTTTCAGTATCTTAAGAGCAATAAAAATTATTTTGGATTTCACAATTGAGGTGTTTTAATGGTGGGTAAGGATGACATTTAATGGCAACACCCATATGCCATATTTGCATCATTACTGTATTAAAGTCACAATAGAAATTGGGAAACTCCAGTCCTTCAGGCACAGATCACACGTCCCGAGGCTCTGCTTTACTTTAGGCTTCCACTCAAATTCCACTTCATTGTTTCCACTAAAGTCTTATGGTGATAAAAGTATAAGGGAGATGTTTAATAGACATTGTGAAGCAACCAGAGGTATCTCTCTCTGGTTTCGTTTTACTCCTTCATGAATTGTTGCATAAGAAATAACAATTGAGATAATTCCTGACACATTAGGACTACTTTGAACTGCTACTCTGCGCGGGCAGCAAAAACTGGTTTGTTCTCTGAATCCATAAAGGATCAAGATTTTATTGTCTTTTGTTGTTAACAATACTTTTAGCCAAACACATCCTATATTTTCCTAAGTTCTTTAAGCTGAACTCTACATTTATGTGTGAAACAGGAATCAGTGCTGAAGGCCAAGTCCCTACTACGTGCACAAGGCACAAGAGCACAAATGCACTCCTTAATGGAAAACTGAGCACAAGTGCCTGAATCAGTCACTTTCTGCTTCCTTTTAGTGTATAAACTAATAGTTTAACTTTTAGTGTATAAACACTCTCCTGCCAGCTTCTTGTACAGTGGTGGCAGCCTAACCTGCAACATTCCAGAACACTAACAGTTTTCTTTGCATACCCCAGGAAGGGAGGTTTGCTACAGAAGACTCGGATGCTTTACAGATAAACCCCCTTGGTCTGGGATCCCAGGGAGAGAACTGGCAGGCTTGCCCAGCTCTCCAGAATATGTGAACACCAATTTCTTTCTTTACACTAGAGACAACATCATGAAACATCAAGTAAGAAACTGCTTTGCTTTTAAATACTGATGGCATACAACATTCAACATATAATATAGTTTCTTTACTCCCATATTCTTCCTCATAAGTCTCCCAAAAGAAGCCGCAATTCTGTATTACACATGAATAACCCACCATAATTTTCTTCATTTCAGCTGTCTGATAAGCCAGGTATATTTACAACATACTAATCACAGCCTTCTAACACAAGTTACTTTCTCTATAGTAAGCTAATGACTCAAATTCAGTGTCAGGCTTAACATTATAAAGCCAGAGGTAGGGAAGACAGTACAAAATGAAAACTCAATTTTGGCTCCAGTTTGAAAACATATTTCAGACCCATATATATGACTCAGGCATGTGGTTCATATGTATGATTACTACCTCCTCTGAACTGTATATGATAGGTCTCAGAGGCTTTGCTTATGTGGTTGCCAATGCTGAGCCCTAAAAGCATGTAGACAGTTAAGAGTGAAGATCAGAAGAGAAAGCACCTGTCAGAAGAGAAAGTTCACCAGAGAGAGGAAGGAAAATAGGATTAAAAAAATAAAGGGAAGCTTCAAAAAGAAAACAGACTACAGAAAAAGGAAGGTGAGGATGAAATCATATGTGAAAAAAGAAGGAAACAACCCAAAAGAGAATGGAATGGATGTATAAAGAAAATAAGCTTTTTTTTTTTTTTTAAGGCTGGGGCTGAGGGAACTATGGAGACTAATAAGCTAAAGAAAATGATTGGGTAAGATATACCATGGAGAGAGCTTGGAGGTTTCTTTTCCAGAGTGCTGAACCAGGTTATCACTCATGAAGACACATCAGGTAGAGAAGCACAGAGAGCTGTATGGAAGCAAAAGGTTAAAATGTGAGGTTATCTACAACAACGAGTGGCAGCAAGGGGAAGCTCTGGGCTCTGACAGAGTGACAAATGGAAGTAGCTAAAAGGAGCCTGCAGGACTGTTTAGGATGGATCAAATGGGAACACATACTGAAAGGCGCTGGCAGTCTGTCAGCCCTTTCCTCTGAAGGTACTGGGAAAAGCTCACAGCAGGATGCTCAAGGTGCTGGAGGTGTCTGGGCTGCGGTTGTCCATAGCATGAAGCAGTTTTGTGGAGCTATGAGCTAGTCTGGTGAAAAAAAAAGAGAAATGATCATCAGAGAGTGTGAATTTTACTAGGACAAAGAGCAAGAAAAATGAAGCAAATTGGGGGTGGGAAATCTGTTGCTGCTGTTTACTTATATTACATGAAAAAGGCTTCACAGTTGGGTATTTTAACATAAATGGCAGTCACAAACAGTGGAGGTGTTTAACGATTTCTCCTGTTTGAGTCACCTCAAAACAAGTTCAGCTGAGAGGGCTCTAAGGTTTTAACTTTAATCAATCCTCCACTGAAGGTAAGATATGTGCTAGTTAGTGTATGACATCCTCTTTTAAGCTTACAAGACCATAACAAAAATAAGAAAGAGACAAGTTTTAAAACAACCCAGGATTCAGAATTTCTTGAAAATAATGTCTTATTTCCCAATAAACCCGGCTGGGCTTTCTCATAAAACATAAATAAGCTTAGCAATGAAGGTCTTATCTTCAAACAAAAAAGCAAGAAAAACATGCATAGACTCAGAGTCAACCCCGTACTACCTTGCAGCAGATGCTATCTTTCTATTTCTATGGCCACAGTTGGAAAATCTTGTGTTTACATGCCATATTGTACCAGTATATCTCAAAGCATTGCATGCCAGTATCATTAGTTCAATTAACAAGAGGAAGTGAATAATTTGTTGATGTGATTAACTGATATCCCCCAGCAAGGCAGTTCAACACGTGAGAAACAAGACACATCTCTATGGAGTCCAGAACTATGCCTTAGGCATGGAGTACTCAGCTGTGCATGACAATGTACTATGGGATGGAGCAATCACATCCTTGTGTTGTTTGTTGGTTATCTTTTTTACACAGAAAATTTCAGCTACAAGTCCTTCAACTATCAAAGCTTCCAATTTCAGGACACACCGGAAAACTCGCTTCCTTATACATGGCCATCTTGCTGGAGCAGACCTCCCCTGGATATCAAAGATGTGCAGGGTATGGTATGACTGCTTTCTGACAGTCATTTTAGTTGTGTTTGAAAGTGCAGATATTCACATCACCCCATTAACTGGCTTGAAATTTCCACCTAGCATTCACACCTCTCTTCTCTTGTTAATTCAGGGAATATATGAGGGAATGAAGCTCAGTTCCACATGAACACCCTCTTGTTCCTAGCTACAAGTATAGCGCACTCCTGTCTTCTGCTAAGTGCCCTCTTGCTGCATTCAGCTCCACTGGAAAGCTATTAATTAATTGATTTTTCAATTCCTTGCCAATAATAAAGGGGGAAAAAAGTCATTTTTCTCAACTCAGCAGAAGGTAAAAATAAACATTTCCATCTGAGTGAGGCATTTGATCTAATAAAAACAAAATGCTTCTTTCAGCAGTTCGGCTTCATTTTATTTAGGCCCATCTCAAAAATTAGATTGTTTCAGAATGAAAAATCAGAATGTTCCATTGCCAGAAGTGTGTAAACAGTATATTTTGGTTAAAATATATGAACTTTGGGGCTGAACAACTCAAGGATATGAACACAAATTTGTGAATCCAGCAGTCCAGGCATATAAGTTTTGATAGACAAAGCTTGGACAATAAAAAAGAAGTAACACTATCCTTTTTTTCTTACTGGGGTACTGTCATTAAGAGAAGCTGATGCCATAAAGCAAACCAAGGATCTAGAATGGAAATCGGAACTGAAGCAAGCTTGGGTGTGCCCTGTGTGTTCAAATCACTGCCTCAACTCTGCCTCCGTGTGTTAATTCTTAGTATTGTAGGAATTAGTATATGGAAGATGCGGCTTTACCAGTCACATAAGAGCCCCAGATATAACAAAAAAAGTACTTTTTACATATACCTTGTTACAATTCATATCTGTTTTCTTCTGTTCTTCTGTTTTCACGTTCTCCACCAGTTCATGTTCAACACTGAAGATGTGAACTGCATTTTGACTGATTGGAGAGGTGGCTCCAATGGTTTGTACACCGAAGCAGTTAACAACGTCCGCATTGTGGGGGCTGAGCTGGTATATCTGGTGAACCTTCTGGAGGTAAAAGTATCTGTGCAACATGAAATCCAGGGCATAGTTTGTATGGTAAAGGCTGTTTTCAGGGTGGCACCTTTAGGTTTAATGCAATAGAGTCAGAAGTTCCCGATAATACAGCTGAAAATGTCATAAAAAATCTCTAATCCTACACGAACAAGAATACCTGCTTCAGTGTCACACCACAGATAAGTGTGTCCCTAAGGGCTTATAGGCCATAATTGATGAAAGTTTTGCTCATGATGGGCTTTATACTGGATAAAACATCAAATTATACCTGTCTAGTGAAACTGGCATGGTGAAAAGTGGTAATAGAGGCCCAATGCAGTTAAACCAACCCTCTGTGGGTCACATACACTGCCTCCTGCAAGAACTGAATTGCAGCACAAAGATGAGACTCTCCTGCAGCAAGCCATGTCAGGCTTCCCGTAAAGAAGCTCACCTGAGGCTGGCACACCAGCAGCATTCGCAGCATGGTCCTACCTGTCCAGCAGGTCCTGTGTGGTGGAGCATCTCCATAGCAGGACAGCTGTTTGATTCATGCAGTGGATATGCCACAGACAAAGGCACTGAAAACTCCTCCTCCACAGATCCCTATCCTGATGGGACAGGCAGCTTCAGGGGTGAGGCACTGGGTCATTCACATTTTGGATAAGTAATCAGTGCAAATATAGGGGACCTATTGCAGAAATTTCCTTTTCCTTCTTTTCTGTCATAAAGGCAAGTTCCTGACAAAGGTTACTGCCACTCAGGCACTATATAAGATTGGAGGGATGATTTGGGAACTGCGTCTCTTTGGATACAGGTCCCACCGCCCGAAACAGTAACTTCCCACTCAAGACACTCCCCTTCATCACCCACTCACTGGTCTGGCCACGTCCTAGCACAGCAAGGGGCCACGATGCAGTGCCACCAGCTCGTATGCCCAGATTAACATGCTTGTTTCCTCCTTTCCATACATCTTCACAGAAAGACTATGGCTACTCTCCTGCCAACATTCATTTCATCGGCCATAGCCTCGGAGCACATGCTGCAGGGGAGGCAGGGAGAAGGAAACCTGGCATTGGAAGAATAACAGGTATGGAAGCTATTTCAGCTGGTGAAGCTTTGTGTTCTTCATGCACCTGAAGAATCTCTGCTGCCTTATAAACACATAGTATAGACTACCACCATTCTCATTTGTCATAATTAACACAAATGAAGATATGTCCTATAGCATGCCATGAATTTCACATGTCAGAGTTCACAGTTCTGAGAAAGGTTTGACTGCAACAGATCAGAAGGGCTTAAGTATCCTGACTGTGGCTAAATAGAGGTCGATTTTCACAGACTGCAAGTCACAGGAAATACTTGTTTATGATTTTTAATGATACAAAAGAATGGGAACACAATACTCTTACATGTGGAATAACAGTTGTAGAATTAGCAACTCATTGGCATATTGCTTTTAAAAGCACACTCTAATATGGCTTTTTAGATGTTCAAGAGATTGAAAATCTGAAATGAAGCATTAAAAAGCCTGGTTCTAGTATCTCAGGATGAAACAGTAAGTAGCCATTGACACCCTGAAAAGGAAGAAAGCTGTCAGTCACATAGCTACTCAGAGAGACAGAGCACCATGACACACTCAGACATCACTGTTTTTAGAGGCTCACTGTTTTCTGCTTTCCTTTCTCTTCCAGTCAGTTCTTTTCTATGCACAGTCATTGCTTTAACTAAGCTGTGTACACAGCAAGCAGTCACACAAGCAGTCCAGGGAAACAGGGATCAGAATTGTGTTGCTTTAGCCCTGAAGAGAGCTCACTGACACTGAAATATGGGGGAAACATTTTCAACCAAGCTCTTTTGGAAACAGAAAATAGATTTTTGACCAAATGAAAGTTCTCAAACAAATCTGCACAGTCAGATTAACATAAAAAGATTTCATATTTTTCAGTAACAGGCAAAAATACCCCAAACCTCTTCTTAGAACATTGTTCTCCAAAAGCAAGCCAAGCGCCCATCAGAATTTTACTGTACTGCAATACCTCCATTCACCTTTCTATTAAAACCCTGCTTATTTTGCTGGCTGTGGACCACAAAATGGATTTTTATATGTGGAGTAAAGACAGAAATGTAATGACATATGGCGTACACACACTGTATGTGATGACATACGTATCGATCTATTTGTTCAACCAGACCTATCTCCATTCATTTAGGTTTGGATCCAGCTGGGCCCCTTTTCCAGTATACTCCCACAACGGTTAGGCTGGATCCTTCAGATGCAAAATTTGTTGATATAATTCATACTCATGCTGGTCATCTTTTCTTTGACTTTGGTAAGTTTTCATGCAAAAGCTGGCATCAATACAGAGGTTGGCCATAGTTTACCTGAGAGTGCTCACCTTTGATTCCTTGTGCATTTCAGCTCCAGGGATTCTTCAGCCTTGTGGCCACCTGGATTTTTACCCAAATGGGGGAAGGAAGATGCCAGGATGCAAACAGCTTCGTGTACCTACTGGGAATCGGAGCATCAATGACCTTATGAGAGGTAAAAATGTTTTAAAGAAATAATACCTCATTATAAACTACAGCTAGAAATAAAGGCTAAGCTAAGGTAAAGCCTTTTGAATGTATATATTATTTATATAGTTCAGATTTTGAGTAGGGAGAGAATGCTCAAAAATGGAATATTTAAAGCTGCCCTTCCAATTTTTATTTATAATAACCAAAGAAAATTGCAGATGGAAACCTCATTTAAAGCATGCAGACTTGTTCATCACAACCTTTATAAGAACCTGCAGCTGTTCTGACAGACTGACCTCAGTGGGAATTCCACACATGAAATACCAGTAAAATTTCATTCAAGGATAATCCAAATTTGAGTATTTTAAAGCCTGCGCTTTCCTTCTCACTGCAAAGACATCAATCCCAATATAACGGGTTAGACACTCTCATCCACACCATTAACAGCTCTGTCTTCAAAGGGAACAGCACAAAGTTAAAGACATAGAAGCTGATAAAATGACTGCTTCATTGATAGTTCATGTTCTTCAAAGAAAGCTGGGCTGTTAATCAGAATTACCCTGGGATCCAGTACAATAGATCCCAAAAATCCTGTCTTCTGATCCTAACCTAGAGAAATGAGAACATCTGTTATTCACAACTAAAGGTTTTGAAGTCCCTACCGCTAGTTAAGTAATTGACTTTCAGGAATACTCTGTCTTGGAACTGGTAGAAGAACTTGGCAACAAAGAGGATAGGAAGTTGTTGGTGCACAAATTCACTGGGAATCAAAACACTTTCCAACACTGCATGAGAATATCTGCATTTCCAGAAAAAAAAAAAACCAACCCAAAAACCCCCAAAATCACATTTTCCAGAGACATTTCACAAGGCTGTTTACAATGCTGTTTGCTGATGTAGAAGCTCAGCTCTACTGAACACAAGCAGATAGAGTTGGTTGTTCATGCAGCTCCTAAAAATAGAGACAACCATAACTCCTGCCTCTTGGCTAAACCTTGCTTTTGTGCATATATCTTCTGTTTGATTTACATTTAAGTAGTGCTTTTATGTATGAAGTGCTTTAGAAATGCTGTTTAGTAACTTATTTCTACAGCTTTTGATACAGTAGGGACTGGAGTATTTGTTCCCATTGTATAGATGTTAAGTGAATTTGGCACTAGCATAAAGTAAGCTAACTGTAAGAGCTGCGGTTCTAAACTTAAAAGCACAGAGCCTTCTGAATTAGATTTAAAGGAGAAACTATAAAGCAAGCATACTCAGGAAGCCTTGATGATGCAGATTATTTTCAAGAAAAACAGACAAAACTACTTTTCAGAGGGTTTTTGACAAGTTTTGTGTCTTTCCTTATGCAAAGTACAATGTCAGCTGATGTTGACAGTTGTCCAGTGCCAACTGGTCAATACCAATGGATCTGTGTTTAAGATGCATAATATTGACAGCAGGTGAAATTCTGATTTTAACTATAAACTGTGGCAGCTTTCAATTACTTCAGTGCCTTCACCCTATGATTAGGTGAGCCCACATACAGGCTGAAACAGAGTGGAGCCTGTTTTTATGCACTTGGTCTTAGTACATTGTTCTTACATAGAGGAGAGACTTCAGAGCCAGTGAAGGTAATGCTTATTGCAAGAGACCTGTAAATATAGCCCACATAGCAAATCCTTCTTTCCTGCACTGGCTGCTTATAAATTTCGCTCTGATGGGAAAATGTACTTGTTTCATGTATTTCTGACAAAATCAAGGACACACTGCCAAGCATCTCACTTTTCAGAGCATTTCACAGAATAACGTCTGTCAAAAGACTGCAGATATTCTAGAGCTTTAAACACTGAAAGCCATGGAAGTTAAAATAATTACTACAATTACCTTTAATTCTAGAAATGAGTGGAAACTGTGGTTTTACAAAATACCATGTTGTGATAATGGTAAGCAAATGAAAACTACTTTATATTAGCTAGTATATGCTTTTAAAAAGCTATACCTATGAATTAGTCAAGTCTTTGACATATTAAAGGGAAATTCTCCTAAATCCTCCTCATTTCTCATGTTAAAGTAAAAGCAGTTAAGTACACACAGCAGGATGGGAGGCTGCACAATGTCTACCTGAATGCATCACCACCCCTGTTAACTTCAGCATGAGTACAGGCACACGCAGATTAGAACCTGGCTTTTCCCCGTAGAAAAATATATATATAGCCATAAGTACATTTTTTACTATAAAACCTAATAATTCACACTTTAAACATCTTTTAATTATTACTATATTTTAATCTGAGACACCACTATGTGCACAAATGTTTTTGAGAAAAAAAGACCCACGAGTGTTGCTTTGGCATGGACTTTATGTCAATGCATAACTTTAATCTTCTTTACCTGGGCTCTTTCCCAGAATATAGATCTCTTGGATGTGGGCATAAAAGAAGTCTCCGGTACTATGCTGAGAGTATTATTACTCCAAATGGATTTGTTGGGTATCAGTGTGAAACTTATCGAGCTTTTGTATTGGTAAGTATCAGGTACACATTTATCTGAGGGGTTATAGCCCTGCTTTTCTTCTCTTAATAATTTCTGAGACAGCTTCTACACTCTGGATCATGGGATATAGGGTGGGCTATGCAGATTCACTGACTACCTTCATCCAGAGCATATGCAAAATACAGGCAAAATGTAAAAGCAACAAACTTAAAAAAAAAAAAGAAAAAAAAGAAAAAAAGAATTACAGATCTCAAAGAAAATAAAGCAGTAAATACATTTACAAAGGGGGATATGAAGTGGCTGGGCTCACCCATTGCATGGGTCACCTGTTAAGGTCACTCTGGTTGAAGGAAGTCCATCTAAACCTGGTGAAATGCATCATTAAGAGGACAGCCTCTGGATTTCAGAAGTGTTTAAATATCTGTATAAAAATAAATGTCCTCAGTATATAGAACAGGGGAGATATTTATACATTGCAGCATTGCTCACACAATCCTCATGTGGCAGAAGAAAGAAGGCAGCACAATATTCTGGTGTTTCATGCCAGATATAACTGGGCTTTTAGCAGACCAGTTCTGGCAGCACAACTGGAGGCTGGTCAAGAAGGAAGACAAGTCTGAATTTCTTTCCTTCTACTCCCCAAAAGAATGATTACAATACTGGGAATAGTTGTTTATGTTCAAAGCAATATTAACAAGTAACTTGTACCTTTTCAAAAAATCTGGAGAAAAAGCTGAAATAACTTCATATATTCAACTTTAAGAAGTGGGCTTAAACCAGATAACATCTTGTAACACCTACTGTTATTTTCCCCAGGGAGACTGCTTCCCATGTCCAAAGGAAGGATGCCCACTAATGGGTCATTATGCTGATACGTTTTTACATAAAACTGAAAAAGAACATCAAAAGGTTTATTTAAACACAGGACCCTCCTCTCCATATGCTCGTAAGTGCTCATTTTGAGAGGTGAATCCTAAAGTGACAATGAATTATATGTGCAAAATCTCTTACACTACTCCAGAGAGCTGCTGGAGTTAATGAGTGGCACTCAGTGCCAAATTGAGTTTCAAGTATGTTAGGAACACACAGCACCAACATTACCTAGGCTGAGATAATCATAGACACAGATCAACTGATGTTAACCTCTGAGTTAGAAACAATGCTAAAATCTTTGTTAATTAGATGATGGCTTCAAAAATTCTATAAAGCTGAAGATGGGAGGCACGTTGTGCTGAAAGTGCCCAATTTCGAATAACAATAAAAAAGTTACATTGTCTTTATTGACAACAATTTATAAAACTGAATCATTTCTTTTGTAAAGCTCATCAAGTCAAAATGGCAGGGAGTAAAAAGCAGTACAGTTTTCATTGTGATTTATGTAGAAGCAGCCAGTAGGGAATAAGAATATTTGTAAATTGCAGTCCATCACAGGTGATGAACTGCAAGGGCAATAAATGAGAAAGGGCCTTTGAGATCCTTATTCACTGGGCAACAAAACATGAAAAGAAAATGAAGGAATAAAATTAATCATCTTATGTGTCGATAAGAGCAAAAAGTAAAACAATTAATGTGAGCACAGAGAAACTAGCCATTTCACAAATCTAAATGAATACATTCTTTTCAACATTTACAAACTGCTGAGTTTATGGAAGTTGTAGCCTGAAACCAAATACAAACTTCTGAAATGGAGGAGGAGATTCTCCTTTTAATAGCCCAAATTAAATCCAGCACAAACACTTCCCAAACCTGGTTGTTTGAAATCAATATGTGCTATTTCATCTGAGACCCTTCTGTCTTAGACATACGGGATGTCAGGATCTCCTGACAGCTCTCGGGCTATGCACAGGTATAAGAAAACCCTAAAAATTCTATGTCAGGATCATGCTGGTAATGAAACCAGTTTTGTTTAACGTATCTTTCACAACACAGCAATTCACTGGATCTCACTTCACAGTTGAGAGCTATCATGCTACCCATGAGACCCCCAAATTCCTCAGAAGTGTAGAAATGACAAAACTTGCAAGTGAGGGCAAGTGAAAGAGCAAGGTACAGTATTGGCCATGGCAGATTAAATCCTCAGCATAGTCAGTAGGTCAGCAAAGATTGGACCTGCAATTTAGACCACTGTCAAGGAAATGAATAGTACCAGAGTCACGCAGAGCTAACATTTGACTTAATAGTGACGTTTGCTTACAAGTGCGTTTGTGCAATTATTTTCTCTCCCTGAAAGACACTGAAACATATGAGAAGTTTTACCATTAGAAAAGAAACTTCCTTACAACCATAATCTATTTCACTTTGCTCTCAAAGGCTGGCGGAAAGAGATACATGTCAAAGTGTCTGCAACAGAAACCATGGAGGGAAATATAGACATAGCCTTGACTGGAACTAATGGGATCAGGAGAAAATACACAATTGACAAGTAAGTTTAACAGTTTGTTGAAAAAATAGCTCTATTGCTGTTGCCACATTGAATTTATACACAGGTAATTTTACATGTCTCGTCTTGTTCTATGTGATCTGTGGCTTAGACTGGTAATGAAAGCAGCTGATCAGTGGCTGAAGCTCCCCGTGGTACAGATGGTGGCCAAAATCTGCTTGCTGGTATCTCTTGCTCTGTATTTTCTTTTCTGTTCTGAGGATGCCTGTTAGCATAGCAAAGTGGGTGAGAGCAAAGAGCTCTGTGGCTGCTACTGGACTCACACATCATTTGGTGATCTTCTCTGTGAAGAAAGAAAGCTGCATGGCATACAATCATTTAATTGTTCCCTCCTCTAGGGAAAAGGTGAGAAAGTTGCAGCTTGGTTATGAATGGAGGAGAAAGTTGCAGCTTGGTTATGAATGGAGCAGGAGTGAGATTCCTGTCTGCTCAGAGTAACTTTTTCCAGTGAATTTGAATTTCATAAACTGATCCTTGCCAAGAGCACAGCTTAAATATTGAAAACCAGTCTCCTCTGTGTTTCAACATAGCCCTGTAACTGGTACCCTGTACCAGGAGCACCTTTGATTGCAAATACACTACTGCAGCGATACACTGATAGGTAACATCTATGTTAATGTCACCGTAGTGTACACCCTATTAAAATGAATGATACCACAGAAGACATGAATGTAAACTATAATCTTCAATTTTCCTCATGGTTGAGAGCAAGCAGAAGCACTGAGAGAACTTTTTGTCATGACTTATTTGAAGACAGATCTCATTTTCCAAACATAATGTTTAGAATAAACCCCATGGCAATTCTGACAAAAGACAAGCTGACTAATCTAGTGTTTCCATGTTGAAAGGCACAGGAATTTAAGCCACTAAGTCCTCTGCATACTTATATAGATCCCTGTTACAATGTTTGTCCAAAAGAGTGTTTGATGTATTTTATGTATGACTAAACTAAGGTCCAAGGATTTCATAAAAAACTTTTCTACATGCGTTGAATAACTAGCCAGCAGACAGGACAGAACTTGGTGCTTCTGGACCCCAGACATGATGTCCCCACTGCCTGCATTGAAAGCCTCAGATCTGCATGAGGCTCTGCATCAAGAGCCCTGTGCATTTCCCAGGACACGTTCTCCAGTAACATGTTCTAAGCTAAAATTTTGCCTAATATCCCTGATGGGTAATTCATCAAAAATAAAATAAAATGAAATTAGAATGATAGTATTCAAAGCTTCAACTCTCACAGCATCCCACAACTCATCTCCCTTTTTGCCTCAACTGTAACATTTTGTTTCCCTCATTTGCAAAGAAAGCAGAGCATCACTTCTTTCCTTTTTTTTGGCAGGGGAACTTTCAAACCAGGCAACACGTACTTCAACTACATTGATACAGAAATTTCTGGGAACATTTCAAAAGTTGAGTTTCTCTGGAAAAAGCATCCAGGTCATGTACACAGAGGCTGCATGGGAGCTGAAGAAGTCACAATAACATCTGGGGAAAATGGAAATGTGTGAGTACACAATGTAATGGTGTTCTGTTCTGTGGGTATAGAGGGGGAAACAATGAACAAAACAAATAAGAAAAAGATACCCCAAATGCCTTTGCATGGTATCATGTCCCTTAAAACAAGTGGGTTTAGGTACTGAAAATAAGAGCCTAATTCAAATTTCATGGCAGTACTGCATGGTTGGCTGAATACAGTTAGCCCCAAGAGCTCAGCACTGCAGCCAGAAATCCCCAGAGAACAGAGACATCACATCTGAAGTCCTGGTGGGGAGTAGCACTGCACTTATAAGAGAGACAGAAGGTTTTTCTCCTCAATTGCAGTTTCCTGTGCCTACATCTCTGTATGCACATAGCGCAGCACATCAGAAACAGCTCTGCACAGTGCAACAGTCACTTGAGGTGGACTCCAACCAGACTCCATGGATCAGGCACCCACTGGCACTTGCAGTACATTAGGTACGCTGCTAGAGCACACCTCTTGGCTCAGTTTTAACCAAAATGAATGCATTTGATGTGTCCAGACACCACTCTATCATGTAAACCAAAGCGTGGCAAGTGGGAAAAACGGAGTGTAAGGTTCCCTTTGAAAGCGTATTTCTGGTCCAGATTAAAATGCTAATGGAGTCTGAATATAAACACAAACACATCTTAAGATGTGATAGATACTAACTAGTAATTCTTCTAAAAGTCATTGTGTAACATACACTTTTTGCTCTCAGTCTACTAGCATTCATGCTTTGATTTAACATGAAATAGAAATAGGACTTACATTGATTATCTTGTGCTGCTGCTCAGAAAATATCCCACTGTGCTAAAAAATATCTCCTTGAACTCTTCTTCTCTCACCAGGTCTGTGTTCTGTGGCTGTGGAACCGTGCAACAGAGCACATGGCAAGACCTGGCCCTTTGCTGAAGCTTGGTGAGGAATGCCATCGTGTCCATTGTGGCAGCTCTCACCATCTGGAAGGGAACACTTCATTCTGCAGCAAACTATGAACAAGACTCCTTCAACAGATCATTAAAAACTTGCCCAGCCCACTACAAAAGCTCTATTTCCAAATTAGTGTTTTCTGCTTTCATCCCTACAGGGATGTATAGTTCCAGTTACAATGACAGCTAACGTGTATTTCACTAGTAACACACATGTGCAGTGTGATTATATTTCAGAGCCAAGAGGAAAAATAATAAAATAGGGGAAAAAAAAGTCCCAGCCAATTCCCCTTAGAAATACACTTAATTATCTTAGGGGGAGCATCCAAAAAAAGAAGCACCAATACCAAGCAAACAAAAAAACCCACCAAAAAAACACAAAAGAAATAATAATAAAAAAAAAGGAAATTAAAAAAAAAAGGAGAAAGAAAAAACTTACAAAAAAAAAAAAAAGACAGATAAAAGAAAAAAGCAGCATAGACAGCAAAATTCTTTAAAAGTGCCTACTTACTTGTTCAAGAAAAGGACCCTTGCATGCTTTCGGAAGGATCTGATTGTTTCTATGTCAGCAGTCTGAGGAATAGTTCTAAATAGAAGAATAAGAGTTTGAATGCTGTTGCCTGACATGCCCTTTCTTCCTGAAGAACACATTTAACCAGCATTTTAGCAGCACATCCAAAAGACTGCTTAGGAGCTGGGATTGTGTAATGAGTTGTAGAGCAGGCCTTGATAAACTCTACTATCAAAGCACACTGTGTGTCAAGCAGGATAACTTAATGTACAGGAAAATACTTGATTGTTGCCTTTTTTCCTGAGGAAGAGCTCATTGATGTGTTCTGTTCATCTCTGCTGAACATCAGGTTAGCTGGGACTCTTTCTTTATACCTGACGTGGTCATTTTCTCTATCAAAACAATGCTGCACTATTGAGGATCTTCAATTTTCTGGCAGCCTTCAAAGAAGTTACATTATCAGTATAACTTCTTTATCAGTGAAGCTGAATTTTCACCTCTGCCTTGCCTTTCTGAAGCCACTGAAGTCAGGCCTAAGCAGAATTATTTGCATTAAGATACAGCATTGCTCCCTCCAAATTTGGCAGCATTTTGATTACACAGGTTAACAAAACCAAACTACTAAGAGTGGTAGTTGCATCAGACAAAATAAGCTATGATTTATTTCTGTTTCAATACAAATTACCCCCCCCCCCCCCAAATTCTTGTGGTTTTTAGTTGCCCACTGTGGCTCAGACAAACAGCTGATTTTTAGATCTGTCATTTGGGTGCATAAATCCTGCATGTGAATCATGTTGAGCAACTCTGTTCTGTCCCATCCTAACACCTAGCTATTCCAGAATACTTCCACTGAGGTTCACCAGAAGGTGCTAATGAGGTGTGTTACACAAGGCTAAATATGAATGATGAACACGTGTGTTTCAAACCATGCAGCAAGGATTTTGAGAGGTCAGAATCCAGTCACCTCCTATGAAATTTGCCAGAGGAGCATGCTTAGGATGTTTGCAGCAAAGCTGACAAATCATCAGTCTACCTTCTCAGACTCACTGCTTCAGTACCCTTACCATCACAGGGTAGGATCCAGAAACCATCCCGAACAGGGAACTCATCCTTCTCTACCCCTTAGGGAAACTCCTTAGAGAAGACCTTCTTGCATAAGTAGGGACTCCCCTCCTCTGTGCTTCCCCGGAGAAGTACAAAACAACCCTCCAGGTACTTCTATGCAGTTGGGAAATACCTGTAGCTAATAATTACGCCATCTTTAACATCCTTCATAAAGCAGGCATGGCTCTCTGCCCCAGAGTTAAACAAATAAAGGAGACTTGGGAGGGAAAAAGACTTATTTTTCCTTTCTTACAGTCAGGAACTGAAGCAAAAGGTATTTTCTTCAGGGTCAAAGAAAAGCATGGAGCAGGGCCAGGCACTGGATTGGGTCATTGGATTTAATGGCATGAGACTGCAGCGTAGGCCATCGCTTTTCACAAGAAGGAAACAATGTCCTGTTGAACTCAAGACTTCTACACAGCCCATCCCCTTCTGCCTCCATACTTGGCTGTGCCACTTTCGCAATTCTAACAATTAATTACATGTTTTCATGAATAATAAATCATGTTGCTACTTTCAAAAATACAAGCCCTCATTTTGTTCAATTTTAAGCCATTGACTTGAACGGCATTCTGACTAAACATGACAGCTCATATGGGCTGATGACTTCTGCTATAAATGTGGTCCAGCTGATTAGACCACTTAAAAATACACATTTTCTCACCCAGTCAGCTCAGCTAAAAATAAAATACTGCATTAATTTCTTCTCCTTATGTTGTCCTGTCTTATACCATTTATTGACTTCAATCCTTGTTTAGCAAATATCAACACTGCACCCCTTTGCATGTACATCTGTGGACAGAGCAAGAGAGATTTATTTTTATGAGCTAAAGGTGAAAAAAAATGCTGACAGCAGCTATGTGCTGCTGGTAGAAAATAGACTTCCTCCTGTTTCTTTGTGTGCTTAAAAATTGAAATTGCTACTTGTATGAAACCTTAGGATACTATCACTTTGTATTAATGAAGCCAGTCCAAAAAATGCGAGGGTTTGGTATTTCACAAGACAATCTGCCATTGACAAAGACTGGAACAGTAATTCTTTCACAATTTCACAACAAGGTAAGCCAGCTTTTAAGAACAATTTAAATTGCATCTTTAAAACGTCAATGAGATGCACCATTTGATATGCTTGGCTGTCATGTTGAAAGGTAGCGCTTTTTTTAATCAAATGTGCTTCATTTGTCTAGGATTTTAAAGAACATATTATGATTTGTATTCAGTCTTTTGTGTTATTTAAATATTCCACAACAATATGAATGCTTCAGAATTACAATACAAATTTCATTTAATACCCAAGCATTTGTTCACCACATAAAGCATTCAGCCTCAGTCTCTTTTCTCTCTCATGACACTCTTTTGGCAATGGGGCAAGGTAAAACAAACACACATACAAACAAGCCTCTTAAATCTTTTCTAGAAGAAGGGAGCAGCAATAATAAGTAATTCAACACGCTAACTCTCTGCTCCACTCACATCACAGAATCACGAATGGTTGAGGTTGGAAGGGACCACCAGAGGTCATCTGGTCCAACCCTCTGCTCAAGCAAGGAGTCAGTGAGAGCACATTGCTCAGATCTGCTATTGAGAAAACAAGGACCATTTTTGTCACACTTCTCCATTAACAGGAATCATAGAATGGTTTGGGTAGAGAAGGACCTTAAGATCATTCAGTTCCAACCTCCTGCCATAGGCAGGGATGCTTCACAGTAGACCATGTTGCCCAAGACTCTGTCCAACCTGCCCTTGAACACTGCCAGGGATGGAGCATTTACCACTTCTTTGGGCAGCCTGTTCCAGTTGTTCCAGTGCCTTGCCACCCTCACAATAAAGAACTTCTGCCTTATGTCTAACCTGAATTTCCCTGTTTAAGTTTGAACCCATTACTCCTTAAAATACTATACTGCAGGACACAGCAGACTCTCTTCTTTATGTAAACCACAGCCTATCAAAATATCCCTCATAAATACGTCAGCCCAGAACCAGAAGCACAATAATGAAAATTAATTAAATAGAACTCATAGAATCACAGAATAGTTAAGGTTGGAAAGGACCTTAAGATCATCCAGTTCCAACCCCCCTGCCATGGGCAGGGACACCCCACACTAAATCATATCACCCAAGGCTTCTTCCAACCTGGCCTTGAACACCACCAGGGATGGAAGACCCATAGGTGAAGACCTCCGTTTTCACATTATACAGTTATCTCTCTTCCCTTTTGTGATCATATCCATTTATTTCTCTGACTTCTCAGATTTGTTCATGCAACTCTAATATCCTAGAATACAGTGATAAAATCCTTGTAAAAGAACCAGAGTCTTGCAGGAATAAACCTCCAAAGTCCTTTTGCTCTTTCCTCTTTGTTAGAGAGGAAGCTTGACAAGGCTCTTCTACAAAAAGCGTTCCTAGCACCTCCATTCTGCCTTTAAGACTATCTTGTTGGTTATATCATTTTATAGGCCAGCCACTTGCTAGCTTCTTTCATTATAGAAACCCCATGGAAAACCCCATGGAAAACCCCATAATACATGTATCTCGAGATAAAAACACATCATGAGGGTTTTTTCCTTATCTAGATAATCTGTATTCTGTATGCTCCCACATGATTTTTTAATTGTTTTGTTTCTCTTTTCAGGCTTCTGTTTCCCCTCCCCAAAAATATTTTCCCCCAAAAAAAAAGCTAATTCTTTTCTTCATAGTTACATTTTTATAAGCTCTTCTGACTTCTCCCTTTACATTTAATTTAGGTTAGAGTCTTTATCTTTGCCATACCAGAAGTGAGTGAATGATAACAGTGGTTCAATGCCCAAGAACACACATCCTGAAGGTACTCTGGGTAGATCTGAGATCTGGTTTTAATCTTTTTCAGTCCAGCAAGTCCATTTATTTTCCCAGTTAGCATTCCTGCAGTGGCATCACCTTGCTCCTTTCTTTCATATCCTCCTGGATATTTTCATAGTGAAATTATTTACCTCTGTTTACCACACTCTCTTCCTTCAGTGAAAATTACTTCTTTTCCTGAGACACTCCAATTCTCAAATGTGTTACATTACATAGAAGGTATCCTTGGAAAGTAATTTTACTGACATTTTGATGTAGTCAGAGTATTCTGGCTCTAACAGTTACATCTGGCAGCTCATGGGATAGAAGCAGAAATGAAACTATGCATTCCCAGCAATTAGTTAAATTATTCTTCCAAAACCAAAGCTGACTGGGGTTGGAGTTCACTAGGAGGGCAAACAATTACCCACTGACCTATCAGCTAATCTGTCTATATGGGCTCTCTATAAAACTCATGGCTCTCTTCTTTTGTAGTGTCACACTATCAGGGACTTCATAATTTCAAATACTCTCCAAACTGCTTGAACTTAACCTGTTTCCAATAATTAAGGCGCAGATGTTGATAACATGCCCAATTTTATATTTATGGCATATTTCCAAGATAAAACAGAGCCAAGAATCTGTTCCTTATCTTTAACTATCAGGGATCTAAAAACTTCCGGAAGGAACATGCATCATCACCAACCCTTGCACAAGCAGAGCACGCCTACATTGCTGTTCTGCAGAAAAACATACCTCTCCTCCCAGCTACCACAAGGTTGGATGGGGCAAGTGTTTTTCAACACTGGAAGCATAGGCAATATATGAAAATACAGGCTGGCATTGATGTCAATCCCCTTTTCATCCCACAAGTTTTCCTTTTTTTGGTGCTAGGAAAGCTGGGGACTGAATGTAGGTGTCATCCAGACTCCTAGATGGCTAGCTTTGTTCAGAGCCACTGGTCTGTATCCAAGATGGTGAAAGCTATTCTTATATTGACCTAAATATGCAAGAAGATTTGCATTTGCCATTCAACCTCCAAGGCAAATCTACAGTTATTCCCTTTTATTTCACTTGCATCTTTCAAACAACTTTAATATTCTAGCATTAATAGGAGAGCAAGCATTCAGAATAATAGACTTCAGTCTCCTCCTTTTAATTCTGACTATTATTTGTAAAGTAAGCCCACTGTACCTACTGACTCTTTTCTGTCTTCAGTTACTTTCATCATCTGCTCTGGAATACTCTCCTAGTGTTATTTCCTTTAAATACTATGCTCCGTAAGTCTCCAGCTCACAAAACCAGAACTTGACATTATCTTTGCTTGCTTTGATTGATTTAATTAGCAAGCAGAATCTATTATGGAGGATTATAAATACTTATTTCCAAAATCATCCTTTTATTGCTGTTGTGCAGCACTGGAAAGGATACACTAAGGCAATTTGGTTTTGTCTCTATTCAATATAAGATTTGTTTGATTGACCAGAATGAGCACATTGGAGTTAAACAATAGAAATATCAAGAAAGTCTTTTATTCATGGCCCTGCCACTCAGAGACTAAAGGTAAGATTCTCCAAGAAGGTGAGCTGTCTTTGTCTATACTATTGTTAAATCTGTAGGGGATGGAATACACAAAGCTACATCCCAATGACCTCCATAGAAGCTAACAAATTCATTAACCATCTTCAATCTAAAATTGAAATGAGAGAGAAGAATGTTGCTTTTACAAATTTATTCACTCATCTTTCTATGAAACCCTTGGTAATTTATGTATTGCTGCACTTGAAACACAGTTGCTGAGATTCCTTTAGAGGACATGATTCTCAGTGAGTGTTTTGATCCTCTCTTTCCTACCTACGTGAAGGCCACTACTATCAGAATGCATTTATGTCCTTGATAATTCTCAAGCTGTCACTCATAAAACCACCTGGATTTGTTCGCTTGCATATTCTCAGAGGCAACTGCAAAAGCCAGCCTTTTCTTGCTGTCCACAAAAACCTACTGTTTCTCTTCAGACACAAAACCAGACCCAGAAAAACTGGCCATTCCTAAAACCTTACAACATGGGCTAGAAATTCTGTTTTACTATTAATTAAAACTTAACATACTGGCCTACATTAATGTTCACCACTGCATACTCTGAAAGACACCAACAGTGAAACTCTGTTGAGAATGTATATGGTCCCTCTGTATCAACCAGGTTGCCACTTATAAAATACAGAGCAGATCAAAAAGCAAACTACAGAAGTTAGTAAGCTTACATTCTTGCCAAATGCAGTTTTCAGCTATTTTGTGAGCCATGGTCCCCAGAGGTATTCTCGCAAGCATGTGCTTCTGCTCCAATTTGTGACTGCATTGCTGCGGGTGTGCTTGGTGGCCCTGTTTCAACACACACACAAAGAACTAACTCTGTGGAAAGGACAGCAAAATATTTGAGCATATCCAGCAATTCAGGTCCCCTGAAAGAAAACATGTCTGATTTTCACACAAAGATGTTCAGCAGTTGGTGAAGGAGTTTCATCATTAATAGAGGCATTGGTTTCACTGGCTGCTTTCCATTTAACTTACGTGCCAGTATTTTGACAAATGCGGCCCATGACATTCCTTATCCCTTTTCTGTGGCTCCCCAGCCTCATTCCTGCCCAGACTTCGCTAATGAGCTACATCGTTCTGAGGAGATACAGGTTCCATAACTGCTGCCAAATTTCCATCTTCCAGTCAATGAACGTAGACTAAACTGCAGATAATTTCTTATTAGCTAGATCTGTTTTGTCTTATCTAAAATTACACGTGTCTTCACTGTAAGCAGTAATTAAACATGATATTCAGTCATGACCAGCCACTGCTTGCTCCAGATTCCTCTGAGACTTGTTTCTAATGATTTCTAAATGGCACTAGCTTGTACCACTTTACCAACAAGAACCAGACCCAGATCCAAACATTCATGTAGGTGTCACATGCTGCAAGGTGAGACAATCTTGACTTGTTTTTTACAATGGCTAGCAGGCTGAGTGCATTATGTACAGCTCAGCATATGGAAAAACATAGTCCTGGTGTTATTTCTGAAACTGTATCTTCTCTCAGGCAATGCATGTATTTCAAGACCACAAATTGGCTTCTTATATGAGCAGCAGACTCAACCCAAGTTACTTCCTGCCCTTAGGCATGTGAATCACTCCTTGTGTAAGGGTGGTAGTCACTCTCATACAGTTGCCTGAACCCGTCCTGTAGATAGCAGTGTGACCTGAGGTCTTGCCCAGGAACTGAAAGGTTTGGGTCGTGTCAGTTTTGACCCACAGACTCCAAAGCACAGAAGAGAACCTGAGACTTACATGATGGAGAAATCAAGAAGGCATTACAAAGAAGAATCTGAATGACATGAATGGGCTTGTTCAGCCTGGAGAAGAGAAGGCCTTTCAATGCTTTAAGGGGGCTTTCAAGAAATCTGGAGAGGGACTTTTACAAGGACACGTAGTAACAGGACAGGGGGTTATTAAGCTGAAATTGGGTAGAGAAACCTAATCTGTGGATCCCAATTGGGCTAAGAGGACGTAGATTAATCAAAATGGTAATGGGTAGACAGAGCTTGAGTAATTTCACTAGAAAAAGCTAACAAATCCTCAGATACCTATATTGCCCCTAAGGTGTAACACTTCCCCCCCCCCCCCCTTTTTTTAAAAGAAGCTGTAAGAAATATAAACATGTTTGACTGCATGAAAATGTACCAGGGTTTGCTTCACAGCGCATGTATGTCAGATAAGAAGCAGATAGCTGGTGACTTCTAGCAGGTGACACAGGGCAGCAAAATTAAGCTGCAGAGGAGGCTCAGCCCATTGCCTGTAACAGGACCTTACAATAACCAGCTAACACAGACATTTCACATTGACTGTTGCGAACATTATATACAACAACCCACTCTGAGGTCTAAAATGGTCTTGCTTTTCTTCAAATCCATAGCAAAACTTTGAAGAGGTGAAAATTTTCATCTATTAGATACGATGAGAGACAAGAAAAGGCAACATCTGTTATATCCCGCATTAAGGGTATCATTCTCACAAAGGTACTCACCCACAGGAAGCCTATAATTAGACGCCGTGTGGGCAGGTCCGCACCCACCATTGTGGGACCAATTCCAAGTGAAAAGAGCCGGTAGCAACCAGAATTTGACAGGGAGCTGGCTGAAGGGAGCTTGCAAATCAGGAACCCCTGCTGCATTCAGAGTGGTAAGTGGCTGAAAATTTGGTTGGGATCTGGGGGGAGTGTCCTTACTAACTGCTGGTGGGGGCTGAAGGACTGTAAGGACTCCCGTTTAAGAAAAGACAAGGCTGAACGGTATGGTTTGAGTCAACAGGCAGTAAGCAAACAGCAGCACTCAGAGTGATCCTGAGGAGACTGGCAGGAGCTACAAGGCTTCAAACTTTTCAATTCCAGGAAATTCCAGTAGGAGATGAGAACTTCTGGGCTGTGATAATGTGATGCAGCTAAGAAAACAGGGTGGAATCAGTGGGCCGAAGGTAATGTAGGACTGAAACAACTTTGTTTTTAAAGGAAGATTAAATGATGGTGTTTGCATATGGAATCTGGACTTTTTTTCTAAGTGAAAATGCCTAAGAGCACAAATAACAGCTGAAATTAAAAGGAGGGTAGATGAGGATACATAATTAAGCATTATAGGGAGAGTGGAAGTGGGGAAAAATTACAGAGCTGTTGCCTGGAAGAATATAGCAAACATTGTTTGGTAGGCACATACAGAGAAAACTGAATTAGTCAACAGCAAGGGTTATTGTGCCCTTCAGAAATGGCAAAAGGCAAGCAGTGCTGGTCTCAGAGTTGACAAAATTAGAAAGTAGCCTAATCATGAACAGGAACAGCGAGGATCCTCCTGGAAGACAGACAAGTGACCAGATGATGGCTACAAGTCAGCTGAAGGCTCCCTCCTTGGCTTAGAACTGGTATGGCCACTTCCTAAAACTGAATCATGTCTGTTGAAGGTTTTATGATGCTTGTAGTCAGATTAAATGATCATAATTGTCTCTGTTAGCTTAAGTGTATGACTAGCAGTGGGGAGAACCCTATTATTTCAGAAATCAGGGCAGACACTGCATGAAGTCCTGAAGTGGGAAGCCAAGGAGTTGTTGTTTAACAGCTTTTCTTCAATATTATGCCATAATTTCTTGAAATTGTTCACCATTTCTAAGCAACTGACCTAAATACCTTAAAAGCCCAACTCTTCCCGGAGCCTCCAGTAATGAACAAATACGTGTACAACTTTGCATACTCACTAACCTTTTATTGGAGTACTTTCCACATTAAACACCTTAAGAAAAGAATTGGATCACTATTACGAGTCATTATTTCATGTTAATGCCTTAGTCCACTGTCTCTGATTCAGTTTAAGAGGTCAGTAGACACTCAGAAAACTCTGTTACCCAGACCAGACAATCTATGTGAGACCTGCCTTGGTTATTACTTCATATTGGGTGGTTTGGAGGAAGGAAATGCACTAAAGGTTCTGAACATCTTTGTTCCATTACAAAAGTGACATACCTACTGTTAAATATGTCCAGTACTGTGCTCACCAGTTTCCAGTATTTGATAGTCTGGTCAAATGGTGTGTCTGAGATACTGAACAGGGACTGTGCCTAGAAAAGATGATATTCTTTGTATACTAGTAGAGAATGGACTGAACAACAAAATCACATTCAAATAAAACAAAATTATAGTGTACTTTCAGGCATTTGTATATGGGTAGGTACATATACGGTCCCCTTTATGAGGACTACAGACACTAATGTGATTTCTTTTCCTTAGTTTCTTTTACCATTCTGGGTTATGTTACAATACTTCAGTGTGCAACTTGCAAGTATTTTCTAAATGCCTCAGGCTCAAAGCCATGCAAGAATCTGCTGAAAGCAGGAAATTTAACCTGTGATTTCTATACCCAAGGCTTATATACTAAACTCCAGATGGGTTCTCCTTTGTGTTGCCTTTACACTGTTAACTGAGCGCTGTGCCAAACTACTGAAAAATATGAAAGGCTAAAATAAAAGACTGGAAAGACAGAACTGATCGAAATATTTTCTGTTTAAGGACAGTGTCAGTGCAGGAAATATAGGAAGTATGGTTGGAGTGGTAAGGCATGAAAGGATGGGGGGAGAAAACATAAACGGTGAATATTTTGAAAGAAGGTAAAGATACATAAACTACTGTACTGAAGGGGGAAAAGCTGACCTGAATAGTGGAAAGACCACATGCAACTGAAGGGACAGAAGGTGCCACAACTGGTTTTGTTGACATGTGAAAATGTGCTAGCACTGGGGATGTTACTGCATAAGGAGCTGTTCCTGCTCTACTGCTGCTTGCTTTGAACACAATGATATTAACAAAGGCTGATCCCCATATCAGCATAGGCTGCTGAGATGACCCTTTACTTCCCATCTGGCCTCTTTGAAATACAGGATGAAGAAGTGGAAATCACCATCTAGGACATAGACCCTTGTCCATTCCACTTCTCACTGTCACGTTAAATGTGACAAAACTTCATCTTAAAACTAGCTATGTTGCTTTTCCCCTATGACTTCAGCTCAATGGCTATTTCAGGACAACACACCAGACTTCATTTTTTCATGGCTAATTCTTGTTCTGCCACTATTGCATTTTTAAGCATCACTGCTCCTCTTCTGGTCTGAAGTTACACCCTTGGGGAAAAACCATTTACACTTCGAGCCTTCATACTCCTAGTCTTAAAAGTTCTCTCTTCACGTCTTACTCTGCATTCCTTTTTTTCTATTCTCATGATGATCCAACAAGACTTACTCTCAACCTCCATTTTCTCAATATCCCTCTTGACCAATGAAACCTCTGTAATCTTTAAATAATATCTTCTCCATCTATGTATTGAATACAATATATATACTAAAAATACTATTCTCCCAACTGCATGGAAACAAAGACTAACAAGTTCCTTGGCACTTCAAAAGTCACTAGTAATACATTAGCAAGACTTCAAAGGCCTTTTCAGTCATTGCTTCCTCAGATGCTCATCTCCATTCTGTATGATAGGCAGTATGACAACATTTACTTTCCCAAACTATAAAACATAATCCAACATTCATGACCTGTACTTTTTATTTATTAATCACTCAGTCTAGATGTCTATTTTTTTCAGTATGAGCTCATGTCCAGCAATACCAGTGTTGAAAGCTGGCATGCAGTATAATGGAGGAAACTGATTCCTATAAAACCCTGATCAGTGATGATTCATCATGAGCATTGAATAACAGGGTCAAAAAGCAGCTGAAAAAAACCCATGACCACAGCTTCATCATGGTATGATGCAATGGCAAGAGCTGTGTTTGTAAATTCAGGAGTTGCCTTCTAGTTCTTTGCTATTATAGTCTGAAATGCAGTAATTGCTCAATTTTTAATCTATTTAATCCATGCATTTAACTTCTCATCTACTTAACTGTTGTAATAATGCATATATATAATTTTAATTTCTTAAATAAAATATCAAATAGCAAAGCAGATCTTATTAAAATCAAAGTATCACGAGACTTGAGTGTTGATCTTATAAGAGTGTCACGTTAGTTTGTCATGTCATGTAACTGAATTCAGTGATGTAACTTGACAGTTTCTTGCCATTTTTTCTTTCGTGACTGAGTATCCTGTAGAGGGTTTCATTATTCTGCCTCAATCTGTTACTCCTCACCAGAGAAGAAGAGTGATAAGAGAATGGTGAGTAAAATTCTCAGCAATCAGATAAACAACATATCTTGGTCTAGATGGAAAAAAATATCTATTTCCTGGAGTAAGAGTATTAGGTTAAAAATGCTGATAACTAAAAAGGCTGAGGTCTGGACTTGCTTCTCAGTAATAGTCTGTGTTTGTGTGCGTGTCCTGAGGAAGGTGTGTGGGTACATGTGTGGGACTTAAAAGCACACTGCTGACAGTCATTATGCAGACTTTCTCATATCTCACAAACCATCTACTAGTGGCCCATGGCTCACAGGTTGAGCAACAGTGTCTAGTGTCCAGAAAATGACCTGGTGGCCTATCGTAAGGACAATTACTGCTCCACTGTAGGTTTTGTACATTGCAATGTCATCCTATGAATGTTTCATTTTTCTTTCTTTTCTCTTCTTTTTCTTTTTTCTCTGAGCTAAACAGCAATTTAGAAATATTTAGTGCTGATATTGCTTCAGAAGTGCATGTCCTTTGTCCACTGCGTATAACAATTTAATTTAGCTAAGTATAACAATTGGGCTAAGTGTTCAGCAGCCTTCTTGCCAGCAATACTGGCTAGGCTGAGATCATTTTCACAAACAAGTCATTCCAGTTCCTCTTGTTCAGCACTAAGCCTTTTAAATGCCCAGTGGCAGTTTTCCCCCACTGAATGGATTGCTGCCTCAACTGTTTTCAGAAAGACATAATTTCTTAACCTCCTTGCAAACTTTTTGCCATTTAACATAGAATAGTTAGGGTTAGAAAGGGCCTTAAGATCATCCAGTTCCAACCTGCCTGCCATGGCCACGGACACCTCACACTAATCCATGCCACCCAAGGCTTTGTCCAACCTGGCCTTGAACACTGCCAGGGATGGAGCATGTACAACCTCCCTGGGTAACCCATTCCAGTGCCTCACCACCCTAACATGGATTAGTGTAGAAAACCTACCCCCTAAAAAAAAACATCTGCTACCCAAACTACATCTCTCTTAGTAACAGAATGAATCAACATTCCACAAAAACAATAAAGAAATGAAAAATAATAAATCTGCATCTTCCAGTGCTTACCTTGCTACATGTTCATTTCTACTTTCTGCCTTCAAAGGAAGAATCTGTGATAGGAAATTACTGATCACTTTTATTTGACAACAACTTCCCACATTTTCTACAGTCATTACTCATTAGCTGCCTTACAGATTTAGGGTCTGAAAAGAAATTATACTATCATTCCTGCTGTCGTGTTCCTGACATGGACTATACATCTCCTGAGCATGAGAGCTCTCCATTAAACACAAACAAATCCCACTGAGCTCTCCAATTTATTTGACGAGCCACATCTTCTGTGATTTTCCTGCACTCCCATCAGGTTCTCATCATGATAATGGGTACTTCTTGACGGATATTGCAGCTGAATGGAGGTGATCCTTTTGGCTGACACGTAGGAACTCTCTGTTCTTCTGTGTTACCAGCTGCCTAGAATAACTCCTGATCCCCTTCCCTCCTCCTCTTAATCACCACCAGATTTCTTCTCTGCTTCCCACTCTCCTCAAGCAGCTAGATTTCTTTGTCACCTACATCAATGGTAATGTTAAAGTTGGGCACAGAATTGTATTCCCAATGAAATTTCATGATTCCTCTCAGCTATGCACACTGCAACTCCAGCTCAATGCCCAGATATTCAGCCTTGCTCCTCTGCCCTACCATATAAAAAACAAGCTATTACCACATAGGGACTTCAGAGTTTATTAGAGAGTGATGAGACACACTCTCTGTACTCTGACCTGTTCCATTTGGCTTGTTTAGGGAACAGCATCACTACAGCCAAGTAATCCAGCTTCCACCAAAAAACTCACATAGGGGAATCATACATGCCTCCTGTCTGACATGTGACAGACGTAATCCAAGGACATGTTCTGTGAAATTCCCAATTGTTCTTGTTTGTTCCTGAGGGTATTTGGCAGTGTCAATGGCCTTTAAAAAGCTCATTTTCTAACTTTCTCACATTGGCAAATGTCCAAGAATAGCTCTTGTAGACAATTTCCCACATAACAAGATTAAACCTACTAAAATTTACCATTTTTTTCCTTAATTACTTTTAATGAGCTATCTCAGTGACCAGGGCAGCAGCTCAAAGTTTTTGCTTTTCAAGAAAAGCAGTATGTTGAAAATAGAAGGCAAGTGGTACAAAAAACACTTTGAAGAAGAAGAAATTGAGAACAGTGAATGAGGCAAATGGAAGGGAGCAGAATGGTGAAATAAATGGAACCCCTGACATTGGAAAGCCACGTGTAAAGGGAAAGTGTAGAGAAAAGGAATATGTATATAGTAAGGGGTACAATGGTGCAAAAATACTAAGAGCCCCAAGTAAAAAGCAGCATGAACAACCTGAAGAATCATAGAATCATTTAGGTTGGAAAAAAAAACACGTCCAACCATCAACCTAACACTACCAAATCCACCACTAAACCATATGCCTAAGTGTCACATCTACATGTCTTTTAAATACCTCCAGGGATGGTGACTCCACCACTTCCCTGGGCAGCCCATTCCAGTGCTTGACAACAATTCTGGTGAAGGTATGTTTCCAGTCTACACCCCCCCCCCCCCCGGTGCAATTTGAGTCCATTTCCTCTTGTCCTATCTCTTGTTACTTGGAAAAGAGACTGCTCCCCACTTTGCTCCATCCTCCTTTCAGGTAGCTGTACAGTCTCCCCTGAGCTTCCTTTTCTCCAGATTAAATAACCCCAGCTCCCTGAGCCATGTCTTCTCAGGCTTGTGCTCCAGACCCTTCACCAGGTTCTTTGCTCTTTTTTGACACACTCTAGTACCTCAATGTCTTTCTTGTAGTGAGGGGCCCAAGCTCTCAAGCATGAAGACTTTACCAAGCTACAGGTATCACTATCTTTATTCTAGTATATCTCCCACCTGTGTCCTCACAGCAGGCAAAACTCAGCACCTCATAAGCTGATTCACTCCCTCAGCAATCTAGATACAGTATTGGCTGTGCAAGAAAAGCAGTGAAAAGGAAAACTGAGTGGAAGGGAAGGATAACCTCTCTCATCCTGTTGGCAACACTCCACCTAATGCAGCTCAGGATGCTACTGGATGTCTTTGCTGCAAGCTTATGGTCGACTGGTGTTCACCATGACCCTCAGGTCTCTTTCGGCAAAGCTTCCTCCCAGCTGACAGGTCCCCATTGTGTACCAACCAGTGTATGAAACTATTCCTTCTCAGGTGCAGGTTTTTAAGCTTCCCTTTGTAATAAATGCTCTTAAAGAGGCCAAATCACTCTAAATAAAATGCTTAACCTGTATATTCAATTTACTTTAGGTGGCTGGAATGTGGATTATTGCATTTTATCTCCTTGGCACCGTAGCAGGTGAGACACTACATCCATGAAAACTACCACTAGAAGGTGAATTCAGATGAAATAATATATAGGAAATGATGACTGGTATTTAACACTGGAGCTATAGTATGATTTGTGTGGGTAATTGTGTGGCAATGTCTATTCCTGTGCATAGAACTAATGCTAAAAGGCTCTGCTCTGTTTAAATTTTATTGTTGAGAGATAACACTGTGCTGAAAATCCACAGAGAAATTCAGAATCACGTGTCCTGCTTCTACTAAAGCAGTGTACAAGCTGTCTTTATGTGACTGCTGTATACAAAGAACCTTTCAGCAACAGGGTGTTTAGCACAAGAGACAGTGCTGAAACATAAAAGTTGATCATAAGTGAACAAGAGACCCATTTGATCTAGGAAAAGCTACTATATTGAAGGAAATTACCATTTTATTAACAGTGCAAGGTCACTGCATAAATATCCTTCAATCCTATGAGCAGAGACATGATGCTTTGGAGTGGGAAGCATGCTGGAGTAATCCTAACAGCACTTCTTGCAAGACTTTTTTAAAGAAATTAGATTAATCCTTTACAAGCCTGGAAAATGGTATCAAAACAGCATCTGGGTTATCTTCAAATTATTTAGCTCCCTGTGTGTACCTGCTTCAGGCAATATCCATGAAGGAAACAAGAATGAATCTGAGTTTCAAAATTCATCATAAAATGAAATCCTTACCTTTCTGTTCTTCAGACTTTTGTAGGCTCAAATAGATCATCGAGCACAAGAAAGTCCAACATGTAAACCAGTTGTTTGTCCTACTCTAGGTAAAGAAGTTTGCTACCCCAGGATTGGCTGTTTCACAGATGATCCACCCTGGTCTGGGATACCAGGGAGACTTCTGACAGGTTTGCCTGACAATCCGGACGATATGAACATCACTTTCTCCCTCTACACCAGAGAAACAGGAAATAACTCACAGGTGACATTTATTTCTAACATCAAGAACTGATTAAACCTACAATGTTTGTTTATTATTTAAAAGGTCTATGTCAGTCATCATAGGCAAGCCAGTCAGAATAAGAAGGTAGTCGAAGGTACGGTACTAAGTACTTTCGGATAAAGTACAACAAAAATATTGTGAATGAACTGTAAGACAGAACAGCTTTCCTGGCATTTTCCTGCAGAAGGATATGGGCTATGGCAGACTGCCTTTTGCATGCACTTATTTCTCTGAGGAAAGCTGAAGACTCATTCCAATAACGAGCCTTCTGTGTATGCAGGTAGGAGAGCAAAGAGTGCTGTCTGTGAAGTTATTGTGAGCTTTAAAACTAAAACCCTGCAGACTGATTTTAGCAGCTTCCAAACCCACAGTGAAATGAGAGTGATTTTATATTCTTACCTGCCTCTCTGCGCTTTGAAAGTAAGACAGAACTACTCAGGTTGCTCATGCACTGGAATACTGAGCAGAGCAATACAGAGGAACCTGTAAGATCAGGAGCTGGGACCACTTCAGCAAATGCTTATGAAGCTACTAAATCCCTTCCAGGCTCTCAAACCTAGTGTCCCCTGAGCTGCACAGGGATGTTTAGGATTCCTCTAGCATGACCTATGATGCCATCACTGCCATTGCAGACATCATAGTTTACAGCAATCCTGTTTGCCACAATGAGAGTCCAACTCAGGCTCTCTAAGGGTGAGAAGTTATACCTGCAATAAACTTTCACAACCTGCAGAGCAGGTTCATGTGAGCACACAAGATACATTCAGCAGCAGGATACTCAGCACTTCTGTTGTTAGTAAAACAAGTCAACTTACACTGCTTCCCAGCCACTAAAATGTATCTGTGATCTAGGGCACAGCCCTTCTACACCCAAGCTCCCTGAGCTCACATCACAGACCCTGTATTTGTCTGAAAACAATACAGACAGATGTCATTCTCAGAGAAAAGGGAATATTTATAATTAAGAAGCTTGCAGCAATGCTTCACCCTTATTGCTGACAGTTCTTGCCTTTATGCAGTAGAATGACAAAACCACCATATGAACATCACGTATACAGAATAACAAAGCCTGTTGTTTAGATGCACTGCAACACACTGAAGCCACAGCTCAGGTCAGTGAACAAGCAAGCTGAACCAGGAGATGTGGAACTGGTGGGCTTTTCCTAGAAGGAGCTCTTCCAACTAGAGCCAACAGGCAGCATTGGACATTGTGGCCCCTTTAGGTTACTTCACATTCCATATAAGGGGGTTCTTCCTTCATTAAGCAGAATAGACAGGAGCAGGAGAAACCACATGGGCACAACTTCTCAGAAACCACAGTGGAACTGAGAAAGGAGAGGTACAGGGGTTCCAGAGTTGCAAAAATCAGACTTGGTCCATTCAAAGTAGTCCCTTGAGTCCCTTGATGACCTAATTGGCTTTTTTAAACTGTTTGAAAGTACAAATAGATTAAACTTTTTTCTCTTTTTTTCTCCTCCAAAACCAGCTCATCTCAGCAATAAACCCCTCAACGATCCAAAACTCACGTTTTTCCTCAAGTAGGAACACCACCTTCATCATTCATGGATTTGACAGCACTGGAAGAGAAGGCTGGGTGGTAGAAATGTGCTTGGTATGAGAGTAGCTTCTGATTTCCAACAGCAATTGTAACTACAAACTGTCAGTATCCTTTAGGCATTCACGTTCACTTTCCAGCGTGCAGTTCATTAGGTTGTGGCAGATACCAATCAAGAAGCAAATTTCACAAACACCTAAATATGTTCCCACTCTGGAAGATGCAGCATAGTGGAGGCTTCTTGGACATCTCTGACATTAGGTTTCTCTAGAGAGTTTCACATTCCCAAACCCTACAGACTGCATCAAAGCAATAAACCAAACACCGATGTCCCCAGCCTGTGCACTGGTGTCAGAATATCAGAATAGCCACACTGACTCACTGCATTTCCCATTAGGAGAAATTAGAATGTCCTTCAGTCAAAGGCCTTCCTGAATTGTAAAGCTCGAGTTTTAGTGTACAAATACTATTCTGGTTGACCACTATTCAGTTCTTAAAAAGCCTACACCCAACAAAACAGTAACAAACCCTTTTTCTTTGATTACAAAGTGCAAAGAAAAAAAGAGATTTCAAATAAGAAATGTGAAGCTACCACAAAACCAGCAGAGTTTACTGTGTCAGTGGCAGCCTTGGCTCTGATAGATAAGCAAAATCTACTCTAGTTTGTGCTTCTTCCACACAGGCACAAAAATATGAGAAGCTAGAAAAAGGCCAGTACTGAATACTGGTCATAGACCTGCACATCACTTTCTTTCATAGGTCTATGAATACTTTTAATCTACAGTATTAAATTTCTAATTTTTTCACTTGAAAAGAAACAGCAGATCTATCTGCCTCTGCATAGCACAAACTTAGAGTGCCTGCAGGAAAGGAGGACATCCAGGCATCAACGCACTATCTCTTCAACCTTCTGTTTTCCTTGTTATTCACCTTCAGCTGTTTATCATGGATTATGCTTTGGTTCCACTTGTCCTTTCTCAAACCTTAAGTGAGCTTTAGTCACAGAAAGCTACAATGGTAGAATCTAATACATAGTTCTTCTACTAGAAGAATCACTGATCTCTGCAAGACTGACTAGCACTGAAGTGACCAACACATTAGTTTTCTTTACTGAAACAGAAACTTTCTCCTCTATTCCAGACCTTTCCAGTCTGACATGACTTTGACTTTCTCAGTTTTAAAGGTACTTGGTAAATAAGTCTACTTTCTATGCTATTCAATTAAGCTAACAGGATCTCCCAAAGAAAGTCACATACTGTGCATAGAGACTACTGTGCTGTTGTATGGTTCTTCCAGATTACTTCAAATAGGTATGCAAATGGCTTATAGATTAAAATATTTTTATTATGGTGATTCATAATTAATACTTTTTGGATGAATAGCTTGTTATTTTCTGTTTTGCAAGAAGATGCATGTTTCAGCATGGCACAGGCAACAGTGAAGAGTCCTGCTTAGTAAAGATTGGGAAATTGTATTACTATATTACCTTTTAATGCTCATTCCAATTTCAGTTTTATCTCTGTTATTTCATCTCCTTAAATACTTTATGTGTTTCCACATCAGCTGTTACTGGAAGTGGAAAATATCAACTGTATTGCTGTCGACTGGAAAGAAGGTGCAAAAGGCACCTACATCAGTGCAGTGAACAACCTCCGTGTCATTGGGGCTGAGATTGCCTATCTCATCAAAATTTTAAAGGTAAAAGGCACAACTTTACCACCTACAACTGAAATGGATATGGAGGGGTTGTGCTGCCACAAAAGACGCACCCAAAGTGATGTGGTTGAAAAGAGGTGCCAATTAATTAAAAGCCAGTAGATGGCAACATTTCCATATGATCATACAGGCAAGAAAGCAGTCCGTGGAAAGGAGGCAAGGCCTGTGAGTTCAGTGTTTGTAAGAGTTTTGCCAGCGTTGGATACTTGTGCTAGAAGTGAGTTAGTGTCTCAGCTTAGCACAGCTGAAACGAGGAGGAGCTGACTCACTTGACAATGCTATATTTGCTGTCTACAGGCATGATAAATTCTCCAGTTGCCTTCTAGTTGTGAACTTCATGTTCCCAAAAGCAAGCGTTCACAGCTGCACATACAGCACAGAACTGCTCAGATGTGAAGTTTAAGAGTATTGGCATTTCCTGCTGACCTCAGGAAGACTCATGAGTGCTTAGACATGCTGAAAATCAGAACGCTACCTGGCTACAGACTTGATCCTGGTCAGGAGGTGTTCATCTTGAAGTGCTGCAAGAAGTAGTTCAGCGCCCACACGGCAAAGTGCTGACTTTGCAAGCACCTGAATACAAAACAGCACTTCTCCAGAATCTGCTGGGGTACAACCGATTGTTTCTACTTAGGAGATTCTTATGTAGCCTCACATGTTTGCTTCTGTATCTTTCTTCTTTGCTTGCAAATCCCAGGTCACTTGAAGATGCGTTCAGTTTTTCATTTAATATCTCTATTACTGCACCTTTTGCAGTCTAGGCCTCTTTTTCTTCCTTTAGAAAAATGCATAAATGTTCCTTAGACTTCCTTTTTCCCAGTTTATAAATTTCTGCAGTTTGATTTTAGGAAAGGTTAAGCTGCACTGTAAACAGAAGTACTCCAGTAAATCGTATTCAGAAGAACCTATCGTCTACTACTAAAGGTAGACAGGCCAGTACTACAGATCTGCTTTTATTGGATACATTCTGCATACATCTGCATTACAAAACAGAACTTGGTGTAAAACCATTAACGAATTAGCAACCAGTCCTAGTTGGTTTTTGGTCATTACAAAATCCAGCAAATCCTTGAATGAAACATATCCCCTGCATGCAGCCTACACATTGATTAGTCTCCATTTCCACCTTCAGTGCATGTGTAATAACGTAACAGTGCAGGTCTTGTACAGCTGACATGTGGCAAAGAGGAGAAGAAATGTCACCCCACCTAAGCATGTCAGCCAAAATACTATTGAGTGTTATCACATATTCTATGTATGCACATTGAGGACAAATATGCAATTAAAAAATGCTCCATAAATGAGTAAATAAAGAAAAAATGAAATTATTCTGACAAAAATTAAATTAGGGTTTGATCCAAATGAGAAAGAAGGTTCATATTTTGTCACCAAGAGTAACTGAATATGGTAACCATACACCAACACTACAACAGTGGTCCCATCATCACTAGGCATTTTAAATTCTAGATCAGATCATTTTCTATCAAGTCTTAGTGTAATTTAAACAATAATTAAGTCAAGGAACTCACTTAAAAAAACCTCAGAGCCAGTTTGCTATGCAGGAAGTCAGTCTAGACGTTCCTGAAGGCCCTTAATGTAAGGCACCTTCTTTGCTTGCTATTTAAAGCCTGTGTTCTTGTCTCCCACCACCACCTCAATGATCAGAAAGTCTCCAGATGCTCCCCTTATGATATCCATTTAATTGGCCACAGCCTGGGAGCACACACTGCAGGAGAGGCAGGAAGAAGGACTCCAGGCATCAGACGGATAACAGGTAGGCTGTTCACCGATGTGCAGAGCTGACATTGCATGTGTCTAAAGGAAAGAAACTTGCAACACACTGGCCTGTAAACTGGAATTAAATGGCAATGCTGGAGGCACCTCTCATGAGAGGAGTCAAACTTCGTGCTTCCTAGAAACGAGGGTAATTATTACATTTTCCTTCTCTAGTTAAGTTAAAAACTGTAGTGGAAGACTTTAGTGGAGCAAAAGACATAGTTTATATTTAATCCAGTGAATGACGGTAATGTTACATCAAACCCTATGCAAAGAAAAAGCAACATGTCAAGAATCCTTAGATTTTCTTATCTGTAAAGCTTTACAGGCCAGTAATAAGCTCAAAGGTAATAAAATGACTTCTTCATGGTAATATGATGCCATTCTATAGTCCGTTGGCAAATATTTTACTTCTGGTGAAATAAGTTTATAGAAAGGTTCACAAAACCATGTTTTTGAACCTTTTCTTTTCAGTTTAGCTTACCATTCACATTACTATGATTCAACATGCCTCATGCAGTACTGAACAATGGAAGTTGTAAGTTGGCAAAATACATTAACACGTGCAACACTTCCTTCCCTCCCTCAAACAATAAATGGGGGGGTTCTTTTAGGTTTAGACCCTGCTGGGCCCTGTTTTGAAGGCACTCCTCCTGAGGTGAGGCTGGATCCTTCAGATGCAAACTTTGTTGATATCATTCACAGTAATGCTGCTCACTTTCCTGCCGTAGGTAAGTGTTCATGTGCAAGTAAATACCTGCAGGGATGGGCATCATGTCACTGACACACTGACCTCACCACATGTGTATCTCAGGGTTTGGAATATATAACACCACTGGTCACCTGGACTTTTACCCCAATGGAGGAACTGTGATGCGTGGATGCACTGATTTACTTCCAGACATGAAAAAAAGTGAATTTGAAGCTATCATTGCAGGTAAACATACATTCCCAACATGCATAGTACTTTGTTTTCGTTCCATTCCGAAATATTAACTGTGAAAGTAACTGTCAGTTTGGGAGAAAACAGCAAAACAAAATTGGGTTTTGCTTATTTAATTGTAAGATCTAGAGGGAAATAAGAAACAATGAAGGCTGGATCAGAACAGTAATCCCCAGGGAACAGTGTAGGAAAGGAAGTTCAATATAGGCCCAAGCTTAGCTCCTCTAATTTGAAATTGAACCTGCAGAACACAAAAAGGCAGGGAACAGGGAACAACCCAGTCCAACAAACCCCTAGGCCCAGAAGGAGGTTTTCCAGGCTGACACAGGCTCGTGCCATGACCAAAAGCAGCAGCATGACACCACCATCTTTCATTTCTCACAGATGCTGCAGAGCTCATCTGACCCTTCTACACCGTAAATTAGGCAAAAGCTGTCAGTGTTTCCAGTGACTGTACATGCCTCACCTCTCTACCTGAGACTTCTCTGTTCACAGGCTTTGGAGAGGTCAGCAGAAGGCTGGTGGAGTCTCCTTGCTCTGTTAAGCTGTTTAAAACTGTAATTAATGCCATTGTCTTAAAAGTGACTCCTGTGCTATAGCAGATCAATGTATCCCACTTGAAATCTTGGGGTAACTGGCACACAGTTCTCTGGATAAACCCCAGGCAAAACAGTAACTTCTCAAGACCATGCTGCTGCTTGTTCCATACCTCAGCTGTTTCCATGGTGAGACAAGTGCAACCCTTGCGCAGGGTAACAGGAGATTATTTCACTGATGTTCATAAACTTTGTTCCCACAGATGCTACAGTCTTTGGAGGGTGCCATCACTCCCGCAGCCATGAGTATTATTTCAAAAGTATCCTCTATCCCACTGGATTCTTTGGATATCCCTGCAAAAGTTATGATTCCTTTGATTCGGTAAGTATATCAGACCAGGAATGGGTGTGGAATTTCTGTAAGGAAAATGATCCAGGTCTCTACACTCATAATGGGTCCCACTATGTGTGCAGAAGACTTGGATGTTGGTGACTGTGCTTCTCACGGGGTGGTTTGGTAGGAGGAAAAGCACAGTGAGGCACAGCAGCTCCATCAGCTATTCCACTCTGGGAAATTAATCCTGAGGCACAGATAATATAGCCAAAATAGGGGGAAAAACTTAAACCCCATGCAATTCTCACCATAAACCTTTATGCAAAGAGAACATAGGTTAGATAGAGCTATCCTACTAATTCCTGGCTGGAAGAAGAGACATTTGGAACTTCCAAAAATCCTTGACTGTTCTCCAATTTACACTTATTAGAGTATGTAAATAAATGCATTTGTGAATGATGCTCCTTTTCTTCACCTCCATATGGTGTTGCAACATGAATGGAGGCAAGCTGCTTTCCACTAGAAGGGTAAAATTGGCTTATATATTGTCCTAGACTCTAGCTGAAAATGATTCGAACTAGGGAGTTTCAGACCATCACGGACATGAGTATCAAACCTGCTCATTCTACATCCTGGTGTACGGCAGGGTGCAGGAGCTGTTGTCTGCAACAAGTGCATCAGGTTTTGGTGGTAAGATATTCAACATACAGCACTGCCACGGCTTTGCAAGATCAGAACAGCATCATCAGCCTTCATTTCGTCAGAGCTAGGATGAAAAAATACTCCTCATTAACTGATGCTCTTATTTTCCCTAGGGAGACTGTTTCCCATGTCCAAAAGAGGGGTGTCCAATGATGGGGCACTACGCTGACAGATTTCCAGCCAAACTGGAGAGGGTAAACCAAAAGTATTTTTTAAACACAGGAGCAGACCCACCTTTTGCTGGTAAGTGGAGAAGGTTTGTTACAGTTGTTGGTGTGTTTGAAAAGTGATTGCCTTGATGTAATTAACAGCCATGCTCCTATGGTGCTTCTATAAACAACTGCCAACATCTCTGACAAAACCCACTACATTAGTTACTAATATTTATGCTCACTGAGTCTTTCATTTGCCAACATAAATTAATTCCAGTTAGGAAAAAAGAACTTTCCACTAAACTAGTGTTTTTAGGTAGCTCATATTAATGAGAACCTAGCTTGTTTTGCTTTTCTTTATGCAGCTTGGAGACAAAAGGTACTTATCCAGCTGTCTGGTGCAAAGAAAACGAGAGGGGACATAAAACTAGTTTTCCATGATGCAGAGGGCAACACAAAAAAATATGATATTGCCAGGTAAGAGAAATTCATATTTCCCTATAGCATTTAAAGCTGCTAACATTCATCTACGCATTTTCCACACGTTTCAGCAGTGCAAAAGCTTATTCCGTGTTGCAAACATTCTACTTAACATCAGATTATGAAAAGAGTTATGATTTAGATAAGGTACATGGATGGTTGCAAAAAGGAAATGGAAATCACTTCCTTTTCATGAGTTCTGTGTTTCTCTGAGTTGCTCTTAGAAAAGAAACAAATGTACAGCTGTGGAAAGAACATAATTCATATGGTGCTCACCAGTTTCACATGCACTTTAGCACAACCGCTCCCACACTAGCCTGGCAACATACACGTCAGCATACTTCATTCCTTGCGCTGACAAGGCTTTGCTGTGCTGGCGACTTTCTGAATAATCTCATGCATGGCAATCCTATGCCCAAACTTATCAAATTTGCAAAGTGGATACCTCCTTTCTACCTAGGAGATATTAAAAGCCATCACTACAATACAAATGGTACATCTATATAAGCTGGCCAGCAAACGTCATTCATAGTTCTTATCATCTCCCACTGACTTCTAATACAGCAGCTCCCACTGTCTTCCAAAACAAGTGTTTCCATGCATTCTCTGTGTGTATGTGCAGACCAAAGCGCCACAGAATTGTCCAGCTTTTTCCTAAAGGCCTTCCCAGAAACCTTAGTGGAAGCTCTCCCTGCCAAGATAGGTGCAAAACACAGCCCACATGGGTACCGGAGGCAGCCCCTGCCTCACCCCTTGTTATTTCCCAGTGGTTTCCTGCCTCATGCCCATTTACTGTTTTCATCCTCTCCCTGTTCAGAGCATAACGACTGAGTTCTGGGCCTCCACTGTCACAAAGAACAGCACAAGTGCAGATTTCTGTTGTAACAAACCTTGTGGAGAATGATTGAGGTCAGCAGTCTCTACACTGCTAAACTTACCATTGCCGTCTTCATTGTATTTGCAGTGGAGACCTCTCTGAAGACCAAGTTTATGCAAAATATCTTGATGTTGAAATTAACCCCCAAAAAACTGCAGAAATTGAATTTCTCTGGAACAAAACCCTATTTACCCTTCTTTGGGCAAGACTGGGAGCAGAAACAGTCAATATAACTCATGGAGATGGACATAGGTAAGTGTGTCCCTTTACAGCTCAGAAGGAATGTGCAAGGAGTGCAAAAACTCTGTGAGATAGGATTGAAAAACAGTCTTAAATTGGACACAGTTTGCAATCAACAATGTGAATTTCAGTAACCACAAGGAAAAGATATTGCACTTTGCATGGAAAAGTCAAATGTTCAAGAACAACCCTGCAGAAACTGCAAAAAGTACAGGAGGTAACTGCCTGACAACAAATACAGCAGTGCATTATTTGGAATGTATACTGTTTTGCTAAAGCCAGACAATTACAACCCAAGATAAAGCAAGTCTCATTCCCACGTGCATTACCTTGTTCTGTATAGAAGATCCAAGGAATAATTATTCTTATTTAAATAATTGGGGTCAAACTGTAACCAGAAGCAGAGTTTTTTCAAGTTTGGGGAGTGGGCTTCAGGAACAAGGCACACAGACTGAAGTCTGCAAAACACCAAAAGAGACTCAGAAAACTTGATCTGTGTAGAGCAGCTGAAGGGAATGTGTTTTTCAATAAATAGAAAAGACTGGAGAGGAGCGTAAAAACAGATGCATAAACTACCTGGGAAGTGATAGCCACTGGCTTTAGGCCAAGGTTAAAATGATATATTTTTCAAAAAAAAAAATATTGATTAGATGTTAGGAAAAAATATTCCTTATCATTTGGCATCGGCTTGGATTATTTAGAGAAGCTGATTAAATCCTTTTCACCATGACCTCCTAAAAACAGCCTGTAAAGTTTGCTTGGCGCAATCCAGTAAAGCACCAAACCTAAACAAAGGCATATTAACAAAACCTAAATTTTTATCCAGAGTTCCATATATTGAGCTTACTTTTATTCCTGTAT